CCAAAGGATTCCCAAGTTTATACTCAGCCCATGGAGATTCCATGGGTGGTTGTATTAGTTTGTCTCTATCTTATTAAACCCCTCCCTCATTTCAGGACAATTTTCAAAAATTTATGAATCAATTTTTAAGTATGTTTTTGTAACAGTTTTATCCAGGTGTAATTGAGGGACGTAACACAAAAATCACCATGTTTAAGTATATGATTCAAGAGTTTTTAGTATATTCACAAAGTTAGTTACCTAATTTTATCACCCCAAAAAGAAACCCCATACCCATTAACACCATCCTATTTAAAATATGCACATCCAAAGACCCTTATTGTTCACTGCATTCTTTTTATTTGGTGAATTGATTGATTTTTTTGGTACTAAGGATCCAACCCAGGGCCTTGTATATACTGATGAGTGCTCTACCTCCGCCACATCCTTTAGCTCTCATTACATTCTTCTTAAAAATTATTTTAAATTTAGTTTCCAACCACATATACATCTCTTCTTATGGGTATTAAAACATAGAAATAGTAGGGCAAATAATGTTAGTAAAACAATTCAAAACCAGGGGCAAATGAGTAACTACAGAATTAGTTAACTAAGTTAACTAACCAAATTCTATTCTCAGAAGATCAGCCATATTCTACTCTTGTTTTCACAAACTAAATATTATTAGCTGCTTGTACCCATCAAAATAGATGGCTTTATTCTTCTTTGTTCATAACTATAAAATTCAATAATTTTGGGTTCATAAGAAGAGATGTGTATGACCAAACTTTACATTACATCACTTTGGTTTTTTTATTAATTAATTAATTAATTGATTAATTTTTTACATCACTTTCAATATATTCTTTCCTGGGAAAACTTGCTATATGTCTACCTACTGTCAAAGGCTTATAGTTCTCTATTTTTTATAAGTGAATAGGGAAAATGAAATGACTTCAGGAATTTCTATCAGAACTGTATGAAATCTTGTGTTATAACCAAAGGGACTCACCACCTCTAATTACCTATGGTGGTCTTTCCCCTGACATTTGCATATTTCTGTGTCTCTCTTTCTATACCAGAAGAAACAAGATGTCTGTGCTAACAGCATTCTCCTTTACCACACTGAAATCAGAGTTGTCTTTGCTGTATGAATTTGTGAGATCATTGTCCCTTTTTATAATGGAAATTCCTTGAGGACAACTGTTTTTTCCTTGTTTTCATAGTTCAAAAATATCTGAATAGTAACACACTCAGATAATATATTTGGTAAAAATATTTAATAAAAATAAAGATGGATTAAAGATGGAAATGTGATGATATATACCATGAAATGTCAATTATGTTATAGATCATAAAAATAACAGTTTTCAGAAAAGCAAGTTTCTCTATAAATTTTTTAAATCATATGTTCAAAATTTTCTGTCTTATTTTTAAAGAGGTTTACCGTCGCTTTTTAAGATACACAGGTTTCTGGTAATAAAGTGGCAACTCTTTCCTAAGATGTTTCTTTATATCTCTGCTAATAGCTACAACCTGCTAATTAATTAATTAATTAATTTCTTCCTTTCTTTTTTTCTGGAGAAATTTTTTTTTTTAATTTCATCCCATGCTGACTAAGAATTGCCATGAAGTTAGAGGAATGAAACACCATTTTGTTTTCTCTAACCATAGTAGTCACAGGAAAAAAAATAATCCAAATATATTAAATATTGGTTATCAACTTCAAAACCTAATTCTAAGTATTAAGATAGCCTGATACCAATTTTTCCTGCCAAAACATCTGACATAGCAATAGTAGTGACACAAAGCTAAACTCAAGAGTTATTTTTTTAAACTATTTCATCATTTTTCAAGAATGTATAGGGAGAGTTGAAAATATCTTAAAAGTGCATGTACATACACACATATCATCATTTCTACCTATTAGTTTTTAGTGCTGGTCCTCTACAAAGTGGAAGATAGGGCAGGGAGAAGAAGTCAGAATTGTTAGAAATCAGGTGGTTTGAGAAGCCTTCTCTGGTGAACACCCAAACCCTGAGCAGCTTTCCTCAAGTTTCCAGTTTTCAAAGGAAAAAAACAATTATTTGAGCATGAATTTTTGGCTCCAGGTTACTGCTGATTTAATTACTTTCGCTGAATTAATCAGAATCATCTTTGTTTTGAAAGAATCCCAGTTAAAGGAGGATGCTCTCCCCTTCCAAGAGAAAAACAGTGTGACTAGGTGCCGGGGTTTGGGATTGGGGGTGAACCAGAGTGGGCTGAAATCCTGGGCAAACACAACCAAAAAACAAAAAGCAGAAGACAGAGCGACAACCTGCTGATTTCTTCTTCTGTAAATATGCTTGCTCAGCATCTGTGACAGGAACCCGAGCTGTCTGCAGAATGAGGAAGGGATGAAGTGTACTTGCATGGGAATGTCTTGAAACCTGGAAGTCTGTACTGTGGAAAAGATACTGAGAATGAAGGGTTATGCTCAGCATTTGGTGAAGACTCCATTGGGCCTGCACCTCTGCTGAATAAACCTTGCTCTTTTACCTCTCCAAGTGCTGTTTGTCTCTTTGCAATGCCAGCATTTTCCATATTTTTCTGTATTTTTTGTAACAGTCCATTACTGTTACAACCCCTTGTTATACTTGTTCTGTGCCCAAATAACTTCAAGGAAAAAGTCACTAATTTGTTCTAATTGGAGTTTATTTTGTTTTACATGGAAATAGGAGAAACCTGGGAAAGAACTATGAGTTTTAACTGGACCCTATTTTTTTGCATCTATACAACCCCTGTGGTTACTACTTCAATTTCCATAATTTTAATATTTAGTACTGAAAAAAGAGTAGAATGTGGCTCCTTTTATTTATCCTCCTTCTATGTGTGACCATATATCACTTAATATGCAACCAGTTTACATGCCAAGAACAGGTTGACATGTGAGAAGCTGGTGTGTACTATTTCTCAAGCAAGGTTACTGCAGAAAAAGAAGACTCACTTTTATTTTGTAGTGGAGGGTTATGAAGTTACATTCACTTATTAAAATAATGAGTCTGGAAGGGGATTGAGAGGAAGTGCTGGGGATGAAGACATAGAACCAAACTGTTCTATGTCCATGTATGAATATCCCAATAATGATAATGCACAAATAAAAATAATGGTAATAGAAGAAAAATCAGTGGATTAAAGAAATGACCCAGAAGGAGGAGAGATATTGGAGAAGGAGATCGAGCAAATTGCTATGTGCATTTGTGAATATGACATGATGAAACCCACCATGATGTATAATTATAATGCTCCAATCAAGAATAAATTTTAAAAAAGAATCTTGCTTTTTTAAAATGAGAACTCTCATTTTCACTCTATTGTATTTGAGACATATAAACATAATTACATATAAAAACTCATTTCTAAATTTTATCTTCTGTAATTTTGGAATTTTTTTCTATAGTCATGTAAATTGATCAGGGCAATTGTAGTCTGAATGCATATTATAGTGGCTTTTCATTTTTAATATTGACTACATCACAAAATTTTTCTAATTTTTTTGTCTCTTTGTTCTTCCCATAATATTTTTGTTTACATCTCAGAATAGAAATATAGCCTTCTGATTTTTAGAAGGTATATCTATTTATTGAAAGAAAATATAAGTGTGTAAAATAAAGGAAAAAAGAGAAACAGAGAGTGTACTTTTGGTTTCGAGGGGTAAGGAGAAAGTGTAGGGTGTCGCTATCGGAACCAATGTGAAAAGACTAAAAGAAGAACATTGAGTTGAATCACACCAAAGATAAGTACAGGTGAAAAGTAAAGGGAATTTAGAAAAAAAAATCTTTGGAAAATTGTTTTATTTTACTTTAGAGCTGTGATGCATTTATTTTAGATTTTTAAATAAAGATCATTAGGAGGCATTTTCATGAGTCCTGTACCTTCCCTGGTACATAGTGGTCACTAAGCAATTTGATAGTAAGTCTGTGAGTATCTTACCTATTGTGGTTTGTGTTTTTTTATTTGTTTGTTCTTTTTGTACCAAGGATTGAACTTAAGTGGTTAAGGGGCACTTAACCACTAAGCCTCATCCCCAGCCCTTTCTATGTTTTATTTTGAGACAGGGCCTTGCCAAATTGCTGAGGTTGATTTGAACTTGGGATCCTCCTGCTTCAGCCTCTGGAGTCTCTGGGATTACAGGCATCTGCCTTCCACTGCACCCAGCCTATTGTGATTTTTTATTTTTTTTTTTATTTTGCATTTGTTCTAATTAGTTATACGTGACAGTAGAATGCATTTTGACACATAACACATAAATAGAGTATAACTTCTCATTCTTCTGGTTATACATGATGTAGAGTTATACAGGTAGTGTAATCATATATTCACATAGGGTAAATAATGTCTGATTCATTCTAGTATCGTTCTTACCCTCATATTCCCTCTCTTCCTTCACTCCCGTCTGTCTAATCCAAAGTACCTGTATTCTTCCCTAGTCCCAATCCTTACTGTGAATTAACGTCCACATATCAGAGAAAACATTTGACCTTTGTTTCTTTGGGATTGGCTTATTTCACTTAGCATGATATTCTCTAGTTCCATCCATGTACCAGCAAATGCAATGATTTCATGCTTTTTTAAGACTGAGTAATATTCTATTGTGTATATATGCCTCAATTTCTTTAACCATTTATCTGTTGAAGGGAACCTAGGTTGGTTCCATAGTTTAGCTATTGTGAATTATGATGCTATAAACATTGATTTGGCTGTGTTACTGTAGTATACTGATTTTGAGTCTTTTGGGTATAAATTGAGGAGTGGGATAACTGGGTCAAAATGGTGGTTCCATTCCAAGTCTCCTGAGGAATTTCCATACTGCCATCTGTGTTTTTGCTGCTCACTTCTTCTGCAGTGCTAAGGATCCAACCCAGAGCATTGTTATGCTAGGCAAGTGCTTTACCACTAAGCTATACTCCTAGCCTGTTGTTATTTTTTAAGGTGCCTACCCAGGCAGCAAAACATCAAAGTCGGTATTTCTTCCTTTTTACCCAGGCCTCTTATGTAAGGAGCTGAAGGGGAAATAAAATATACAGGATGAAAATATGGCAACGTTGCCACCCCCAGGACCTCAGAGCTTCGTCCACTTCACAAAACAGTCCCTTGCCCTCATTGAACAACGCATTGCTGAAGAAAAAGCAAAGGAACCCAAAGAAGAAAAGAAAGATGAGGAGGAGGATGGCCCAAAGCCAAGCAGTGACTTGGAAGCCGGCAAGCAGCTGCCCTTCATTTATGGAGACATTCCGCCTGGCATGGTGTCAGAGCCCCTGGAGGACCTGGACCCATACTATGCAGACAAAAAGGTGAGTTCTTGGGACATCAATGGCAGGTTTCTGTTGGCTTCCTTCTGTACAAAAACAAACAAAAATTTAAATTGAGGTTATCTTGAACTTAGTAAACATATCATCATCAAAATATTAAGTTAAATACATATGTAGTAAGTTCAGAATATGTGTTCAAAATATATTAATGAAATGTATTTTTCATTAATCCAGATTTTAGTGTTGCTAATTTGGTTTCTTTAGTCTTTTTAAAGTGTTCAGTAGTGTAATATTCTGCCTTTGTGGATATGACACACTGATCCCCCAAATTTCAGTCTTTATTTTTCCTGCTCATAATTATTTCCTGATTGTATAAACTCAAAAATTTCATTAAAATGTTTAATACAAATGAAAATTTCTGATTTAAAATTTTAAACACAAAACTCATTCTTTTTTTGATTTTTCAGATTTCGAGAACAGGGTAGCTTGAACTTGCCAAGGCTACATAGCTATGTTATGACTTCCATGCTAGCTCGGACTCTTACCATCACCACCTGTGATATAATTGTTCACATTCTTTCTATCTATTTGTAGAAAGAATGGATGAATGGATTTTTTTTAAAGCATGGAGTATTATTGCTTAAGAAAAAATAGTTGTACTCAAGGACTACTTATTAATTTTAAAACTGATATTCAATGTGAAAGTGCTTTTTATGTCACATTTAGACATACCTGATGTAGTGAAAGGGAACAGGAAAATAAGAGCATGTGAAAATAATTGTTTCTGATTGGCCTCTTGAGCACTTGCTGCCACATACAAATAAAAGGGCAAATTCATGAAATTATCTCCCCAGTTGGGTTAATGCTTATGGCCAGAAGCCCACTGATAAACCTTAAGATAAATTCTGTAAGCAACATAATGAAGGCTAAGGCAGTGCCTTCTAGATGACACAAATAACTTGGCTGCCATGACAGGGATTTAAACCTGGTCTTTCTGATTTCTAGGGCAATGGCTTGGGTTGTTTTAATATTTTCCTGTAGCAGTTATTTTCTCATTTGTTTTTCACTTCTCACATACCAAAGTGATGGATAATGTCACTCGTTACACAATGGATATAATATTTTAAGAAAGCTTATTTTTGCTTTTATTATTTTTTAAAATTACCATGGATGGTTGGCAAGAAAGGTTTTTTTTTAACTTATAATGTTTTAATTTTAGCCATTACTATTATTATAATTAAAATAGGGAAATTGAACTGAATGATTGGAAGGATTCTTCCAACTCTGACATTCTTTAAATTTATGAAAATATATTTTGGAAAAACTCATTTACTATTAACCATGACAATTGTCAGAAAGTATTAAAATTCTCAAAATTTGATGATTAAAATTAGAGGTGCTACTTTCTGCCTGGTTAGATTAAAATGCAGTATAACGGGAGAGAAAGAAGTTATATTTAATTGTTTGTTTAGTTATTTATTTTACTGGGAATTTAACCTAGGGGTGTTTAAACACTGAGCCACAGCCCTTTTAATTTTTTTTTTTTTTTTTTTGAGACAGTGTCTCTCTAAGTTGTTTAGGGCTTCACTAAATTACTGAGGCTGACTTTGAACTTGCAATTCTCCTGCCTCAGCTTGGAATTATAGGCATGTACCACTGTGCCTGGCAAAAATTGTATTTTAACTAATTTCAGTAGCTACAAATTATTGTTGCTATTGAAGAGATAAATGAAAAAGAGAAAACATAGTATTTTGGAAGTATTAAGAAATGCATGATTATATATATAATTGAAAAGAATCAGAGTTCATTGGTCATGGTGATATTGATAGCTGTGTTGTGACACTGAAAGCAACTTGCCTGAGTTCAGCGGCAGTATTTTTTAAAGATGACACTACCAGGTGAAGCCCAACTGCTGTTATCATGTGCTATACTGAAATTTTACATTCTTAACTTCATACTGTTTTCTTTTTGCTCCTGCAGACTTTTATAGTATTGAACAAAGGGAAAGCAATCTTCCGTTTCAATGCAGCACCTGCTTTATACATACTGTCTCCTTTCAGTTGTCTGAGAAGAATATCTATTAAGATTTTAGTACACTCATATCCTTTCCAAAATATATACTTGAAAGATATTGAAGAGCAAAGTTTTTACTACTGTATTAGAATATAGGTTTTAGTCCTTTTGCATCTTGAATGACCCTGGTTTTAATTTATGGATTTCAATATAAATCAGTGTAGATTTCAGGATTAGGAGAATGTCATTATTAGCATTTTTATAATATTACTTTTATTTATTTTTCAAAAAACCAAAAGAAAAAAGAAAGAAAGAAAGAACCAAAACTATAAGCTCCTTTAGATTCTTTTCTAAGGAAAAGTTGTTCATATTTCAACAAGTATTATCATCCAGTATTCAAAGTTCCTATTGTGTCTCTTGTGTTCCTTGATTCTAAGCTACCTTATTCAGCATGCTTATCATGTGCACTATTCTGACAAACTGCATATTTATGACCATGAGTAGCCCTCCAGAATGGACCAAAAATGTAGAGTAAGTGGATATATATTTTAATATAGTTTCACATTATCATTTTCATCCTTTCCTTTACTTCTAGAAAGTTAGCTTCATAAAAATCATGATGTTTATCCTCATCCTATAGTTGCTTTTCTTTAATTTATTTTTTTCTCAATGCTATTATCTCACTAGCAGTAGATTAGAATAATTTGATACAATATTTTCAAGAACAAACTCATCCGCTCCCTTGTCCTGTTCTTAAACATGTCATCTATCTCTTGTTCTTGAGTGTATTTTTGATAGGAGGAACCTAGGAATTTTCTAGACAGACCTAGCACCTATGTTCTTGGTTATTTCAAGCATCTCCTCTGTCTGGAAATGTTTCTGATATGTACATTTTAAGAATTTCTGGAAAGAACTTTATTGCAATTTATTTTAATAGAAAGTAGGTCCATAAACAAAGAGCATCTGCCAATAGATGTCTTTGGTTAATCAGAGGACATAAGTAATAAAGATTTACACAAAGCTATATTCTTTTCACACCTAATATACCTATGGGTTCCTGTGTTTAGGTACACTTTTACTGGAATATATACTTTTGAATCACTTGTAAAAATCCTTGCAAGAGGCTTCTGTGTAGGAGAATTCACTTTCCTTCGCGACCCATGGAACTGGCTGGATTTTATTGTCATTATTTTTGCGTAAGTACTCTCATTTTTTTGGAATGGCGAACTCATGAAAATCTCAGACAGCACTGTAATACAGTAAGAACAACCCATGGGGTCTGATTTTTCCTGCATACATAAGGGTTGCAGTTAACAGAACAAGAAGCTGTATGAAAGTTACTTGTTGATAGGCAAATAATACGTTTTTCAGATAGAGTATTTCCCATTCAAATATATATGACATCAAGATTGATCACCTTGCTTCATGCTTAGCACTTGAGTGAATCACCTATGTAGTGCCAATTAGGTGCATTTTTTCCAAGATTTTACTTAAGAATCTTAAAAATCTGTAAGAAGTACAAAAATATCCTCAAGTTATTTATAAGTATGGTGCTCTTTTTATTAACTTGTATTATTCAAGGACTAATGCGGGGGCTGGGGGTGTAGATCAGTGGTGGAGTGCTAACCTAGCACATGTGAGGCACTGGGTTTGACCCTCAGCACCACATTAAAAATAAATAATATAAAAGTATTGAGGCCATCTACAACTAAAAATTTAAAAAAAGGGCTAATACATGTTTTAAAATAAAAAAGTATTTTATGGGAATTGTCACTATTTACTAGACCTAATATTAATGCCTTTTATATGCATTCCATATACATCTACAGTTTATATTTGAGGGAAATATTACATCAAGACATATTTTTTAAACAGAGAGAGAGAATTTTTAATATTTATTTTTTAGTTTTCTGTGGACACAACATCTTTATTTCATTTTTATGTGGTGCTGAGGATCGAACCCAGCACCCCACGCATGCCAGGCGAGCATGCTACTGCTTGAGCCACATCCCCAGCCCAAGACATATTTTTAATTTATTTGTATTGTTACTCTTCCCAAATGTGTTTCTCAGAAACATTTATTTATCTTTAAACTCAAACTTAGGTACAGTATTTTCTATTACTTTGAATCATAAAAGTAATCTATGTTCTTCGAATCCTTTAAGCAATTCAGAAGTGTCTTAAGATTTCTAGCCTCTGATTCCCTCACCAGAGACCACCTCCTTATTCATCAGACTTTCTATTTGGGGGTCACATATGATGTTGTAGTTCCATCTGCTTCCTGCCGATTAGAAACTTTATGCTAAAACAGATTACTCTTCTCGTAGTCTCTTTTTTCTATTGATGCAATTCATAACCATGAAATCATCCTCTTAAAGTGTGCCATATAGTATTTTTAGTATGTTCACAGATGTGTAACCATCACTATGGTCTAATTTGGAGACATTTTTACAAATGACCCTGGACCTGGACCCATCAGCAGGCACTTCCATTCCCTTCTTCCCAGACTCTTGGAAAACATTCACCTTTGTTTTTTTTTCTTTATGGATTTGCCTCTTCTTATGAATGAACTCATATAGTATGCAAGTGTCTGACCTCTTTCTCTTAACACCCTGTTTTCAATGTTTTATAGAAATTTAAAAATCTATATTACTGTAATGTTGCTGGGCTTGTAATTGAAGAATTTGTTTAAGCAGTTATGCACTTGATATTATAGTTTCATCTTGTTTTCATCAAAGGAGCCAAAGCAAAACCAATTAGATTAAGTTAGTTAAAATTAAAAAAAAGACTTACAGAACTATGTATTTAATAAAGAGTAACAAACAGAGAAACTACCTTGACTAAAGGCACAGGTAAGTATCATAGAGTCTATCTAAATTCTGAATAACTCTGATTTAATTCTACAGGTATTTAACAGAATTTGTAAACCTAGGCAATGTTTCAGCTCTTCGAACTTTCAGAGTATTGAGAGCTTTGAAAACTATTTCTGTAATCCCAGGTAAGAAGTAGTTGGTGTGAAACATTAGGCTACTCATAACTCCAACTGTTTGGGAGTTGTTCTTTGTCTGTTTGTGTGTGTGTTGTCACCGTGTTTGTGTATAAACTCCCCTATTGCAGATATGTGACAGAGTTTGTGGACCTGGGCAATGTCTCAGCGTTGAGAACATTCAGAGTTCTCCGAGCATTGAAAACTATTTCAGTCATTCCAGGTGAGAGAGGGATTAAACACAAGAGCTGACTTTGATCTTTTGGAGGAAAGATAAAATAAATTTCTCTTATGTGATTTTAACTAAGTGTGAGACCTTTCATTTTCCCACAATCACTATTAAAAGTCAGCCTTTGAGTTTAATCAGTTGCATGGGTGTTGGAGAATGAGGATGACCACGTTGGCTCACATCTCCACTTGAAATTTTCCCTCCTGTCTAAGGGCTCACTTTCCATTTGCTTTTCCAGGAAGGAAAATTTCAATTAATTTTAAATGCTTCCCATATATTTTGAAAAATAAGTAAGAAACATCAGCATGGGGGTATTGCATGAAACAGTTGTTTTATATCTCTCTCAACAAACCATTTCTTAATTGAAAATGAGTTCATTCTAAGTTGTCATTATGTGCTGCAATGCAGTTTCTTACTTGTTCTGGTGCCATTATAAAGAGATGGTTTGTTTGACCAGTGGTTTGAATTATAAGTTACAAAAATTATGTTACTAGTGAGAATGAATATGATTTGAGCAACCAAACTATTCATTAGACATCTTGAATATTCCTTGGGAATATTTTGCTATTATTAATCATTTGCTTTTCTATGTATAAACAAGGTATACATAAAATGTCAAATCTGCCCTTGTGAGCTAGTAGGCTTTTTTTGAGTTAGATAACTTAAGATCATTGACTTGATAGAGTGCATGCATTTCTAGGAAATCTGGTGTTTTGTTTTTGGTTTTCATTTAAAGGTTTTGTCATTATGAACATATTCTTTTTTCTCTATTGACAGGCCTGAAGACCATTGTAGGGGCCCTGATCCAGTCTGTGAAGAAGCTGTCAGATGTCATGATCTTGACTGTGTTCTGCCTCAGCGTGTTTGCTTTAATTGGGCTGCAACTGTTCATGGGCAACCTGAAGCATAAATGTTTCCGGGATGAACTTGAAAATAATGAAACATTAGAAAGCATAATGAATACATATGAGAATGAAGAAGACTTGAAAAGTAAGAATGTCTCTGTAGTTGTTAAAAGGTTGAAATAATACTAAAAGCATTGCTCTCTTTTAACAATGAAATGTTGCTTAAATTTTAATTATTTAAAAATCATTCGAATATATAGAAAGTTGCTACAATGTGAATTTTTATCATGGTATATATGATTTTTATAAATCTGCCTGATTTTTAGCTTTCTAGCAGTTCTGGCAATAAGAACAGGGATAATTCCATAATTCTCAATTTCTGTAAGATAAAACAGAATCAATTTGTTATAGAAAAATAAATATATCTATGAATTAATAATATTAGCCATTTCATCTGACTATATATGATATATTTTATGTTATAGCTTTTTATAACATATGCTAATATTTATTATATAATGTGATATATTATTTGAAAATAAAATCACATTTTACACTTTAATTATAATTGACATAGATAATAAGAAAAGTGCTAATATTAATAATCAAATATTAAAATATCTATCTCTTTCCCATCCATGTCCTATGGGGGTGGTGGACTCGGAGTTCCTCTACCTGAAGCAGGCTAGTTGCAACATAAAGCTCTCAGAAAAGAATAGGGATGGGGGGATCACACTATATACAAAAGTAGTTTTAAAAAGGGAGGGCAAGACAGCTCTATGACTTAGGGGTTGAACTTCCACACTGGGAAGAGAGAGGGAGTAAGCCGCATTTCCTTTTTTTATACAAGGGAACTTCAAAGGTTTTCTACAGAACCTTCTTCACCAAATAAGGCAGGAGGTGGGCTGTCCAGGCCCAATGGGTCACACCCAATTCCAGAGCTACTTCCTATCCCAGGGAAGACTGATCACTGATCACCAGCATTGTGTAATCCATTAAGTGGGAGGGGCCACAAAACAGCATGCAATGTCAGACCAAAATCTCCTTGGCTCAAGTCTAAGTTAAGATGCTAAATAGCCCAGGAGTGTCCTCCCACATCTCCTGGTAATATTTCTATGGATTTGTCTAAAACAAAGCAGTTTACTCTGCTTTATCAATGCCACTCTTATAACCAGTGATAAGTTTTATAGCTTTTTCTGATGGCTTACAATATAGGTTGGTGGTATCATATCAACTATTAATTCAGTAGAATTAGTTCTGTAGGTACAACAGGAAATGGTCTGCTCTGTCTTGGAGTCTGCTTAATTCTGAATTATATTTTAGAGTGTCATATATAAAGCATGAACTGCATATTCACTGAACAGTTATTCCTTATGACAGTGTATTTCACAAAAGCTATTGATAAATATTAGGTAAAAATGAAATTAAAATTTTACTTTCTAACACCTATAGTGTTTCTCTATGTTGATGCTCACATGAACACATAAAATTTAATAGCTAATTTGATCCAGGGAAGAAGGCAGAAAAAAGAAGATGAAAACAGGAAAGCTAAAGGTTTATAAAAAAAAGTAACTGATATATTTTCCTTTAATACTACCATTCTGTTAGGAATTTGGCACTTTTCTTTCTTTTTCATTTTCATCTACTGTTTTTGTCTGTATTTTGCTGCTGTGACTAAAAAGACAAGAATGATTTTAGAGGAGGAAACATTTATTTGGGGGCTCACGGTTTCAGAGATCTCAGTCTATATACAGCTGGCTCCATTTCTCAGGGCTCAAGGTGAGGTAGAACAACATGGCAGAGGAGTGTGGTAAAGGGATGTGGCTTGCATGATGATTAGGCAGCACAAAGAGACTCCACTTTCCAGATACAAAATATATACCCCAAAGGCATGCTCCCAAAGACCCCCCCCCCTCCTCCAGCGACACCCTACCTGCCTTAAATCACCACTCAGTTAATCCCATCAGGAGATTAATTGCTGGTTGGGTTAAGGCTGTTGGAACTCAATCATTTCTCTTCTAAATCTTCTTGCATTGTCTCACACATGGGCTTTTGGGGGACACCTCACATCCAAACCATAACACCTACTTTTCTAGTGTCTGATTTTTATAAATATGATATTGGATTCTACGTTTTATTTCCAGAGTATTTTATTTTTTAATTTACATATTGTAAACCTAATGTATCTGATGGATAATTGTTGATATTTACATTACTTTTTGTGAAATTGTAGCATTTATTTAAATTTAACTTTTTTCACAGAGTATCGTTATCATTCCTTTTATTCTGAATCTTTATTCCACTCTGAGTTTATAATTTGAATGTTTTTAAACCTTTGTTAAAAGAAAAACTTGGATAAATTTAACAGAATTTATCTGAGCAAAATGTTTGGTGAATCAGGCAGAATTCAGAACAGGAGAGGTTCAGAGAGCTGGACCCAATAATGTAGGCAGACACTATTTATAGACAGAAGAAGGAAGTGACATACAGAAACAGCTGAATTAGGTATAGCTTGGCAGACTGGATAAATTGGCAGCCTATGATTGGCTAAAACACAATCACTTGTTATAAGAATGTTCCCTGAAGTTAGTTTATAATTTGTTTACATACTAAGCTAGGTTGCAGTTTCCTATGTATGGAGGCAGCTTTAGGACAAATTTAATTTAATAATTTCCTCCTTCTGGTCAGCTTCCCAATTTTGAGAGTTTGATTGAAACCTTGGGCATTGATGGCTCTCTGTCATCATAATAACCAACTTATTTGATCCCAGTATGAAATTCATATTTTTCTTGTCTTGTCTGCTGGATGTTTCTTTATGTTCTATTGTTTTCATATTTTAACTGTAGTGAGACCATTTGATGTATAATTGATTTCTGCATATGAGCATTTAAAACTCTTGAGAATATTCAGAGCACCCAAGAACCTTTACATGGCTATTAGAATATTAATATATTGAAGAATACTCCATAACAGGAGTCCCCACAAACTTAACTGATCAAAATCAAATATGCAAAAAATTAGCTAGAAGAGGAATTTACTTCCTTTAATCAAGTAGTTGGTTGATGGCTTGAAACCAAGTTTCTTTCATACCGTATATATTTATCAAAGTGCAGTAGGATATATTAACTACTTCTTCAGTAAACATGTAGTTCAAAACTATCCTATTATTTAAAATAACTTTGGTAAGAAAATTTAAAGAAGTTTGCTGGGCAACTGTAGTCTTTTCAAGAGTCGGTTATAATAGTTAATGTTTGAGACTGATTTAAAATCATAACCTTATTTACATTTATGTCAAACCAGGAAAGGAATGTTCTACTAAAAGATGCCCATTTTGAGGGATTTATGCCTACTGGAAATTTCCTGTTTAATCCATAGTGCAAATTAGGAGTGAAGAACAATGTTTACTTTGCAATTGATTATGACTTGACAGTGCTAACATTAGAATTCATAATAACCCACATTAGCCCCTTATTTGTGACTTATTGAGACAGGAAGTTGCCTTGGCATATGGTTAAATGATCATGATAGCATTAAATCTTCCACAGATAAAAATGTTCTGAAGAGCACAAGAGACTGTTCCCTGTGGGTGCATTGAACATTAGGAGTCAGCAGTAGGCAAGACCTGGTGATATTTATCAAAGGCTCCATTATTGTTGCATGGTTGGAGGCTACCATCAATTAAGGGATTAGATTTATAAATTTATTTACAAACTTTCAAGTTCTCTTTGTTGCTTTTCTTACTTAATTTCTGGTATAATTTAGCTGTATATTCTTCACTATAGATTTTACCTATTTTCATATTTACACAAAGAATCTGAATACAAGAATATGAAAATGTATTAAAAAGGACTAAAAGTACAATTTAAACAAATAGTCACACTTGGAATACAAGTGAAATTTGTTAAAGGGTAAACTAGAAAATTTTTTAAGCTCATGTAAGGATTTAGGTTTTACATGACATATCCAACATTTAGGTAGATTCACTACAAAAGCTGTTGATTATGAAGTCTTAATTATGACATTATCTGGCCAAGCATAAACAGAAAGTAAGCACAGGAAAAAGAGGAAATGGGCAAAGTTTTCTTGATGACAGAAAAGAAAAGTCTGGATTCATCTCAAGAAAACTTTCCACATCTAGGTTGTTACCTGCTTCTGAGAAGGAATCTCAAAAGGTTAGTTTTATCTTCAGGTCTCAAATGGATGTACAGTAGGGTCCTCTTGAGCTGAGAGATGTGAGTCCAAGATTGAAACCATGAAGTTTTGCTGCAGTAGGAGTGATGAGGAGACCTTGGTATGATCTCTTCCAAAAGGGCTCAAGGGCAAACGTCTTTTATTGTTACTTTGAAAAGATCCAGTCTCTGGGTTCTAACTCCTGAAGGGTTTGCCTGTCATCGCTTGGTGTCACGAAGGGCTTTTATTCCCTGTTGTCAAACTTTGCTTTGGAATTACACATAACAGCCTTGTAATGTTGAATCAGTTCAAATTCTATGTAAGAACAGGAAATACATGTAGTACTATGAGGGGAAGACACCTTCAAGTGATTATTTTATAAGGCTTTAATCCACTAGAGGTAGATCTCACCTCTATCAAGACCAATAGGGACACCTTTAGCCAAGACAATCCAGTCAGTCCTCTCAGTTTTGCCTAATGCCACTGTGGTTATTATATCTCATTTAACTATTTTGTAACCTTCTGAGTTAAATAAGTTTTCCTTATCACTGGAGATTTCTCTAGGAATGCCTCATGGAGAATACATACCTTCTAAAAACTTTTTAGCTATGCTACAGCATTGACCTTCCTATGTGGATAAACTTTCATATGCCCAACATTTATGTTGATAATTGGAAGAAATCCATTCATAAATTTTCAAATGATGCTATAGGTGACAGAAATGTATCACCCAAGGTTTTTATTTATTGTCTTAACAAGTTCATGGGTTTGATAATCCAAACATTGGCTTTAATTCATTTTAGCAATTTTAGAACAGTCACCTAAGCAATTATTTCATATGTTTTTTTTTTTTTTTTTTTTTTTTTTATCATCTTAACTATTCCATGAGTCATGGAGTGCAAAACTCTTACGTATGGAAGCTTTAAGGACATAGCCAAGACCAAGCATCCATCTCTGCATGAGACCACATTTAAC